ATACTGCATGCTGTGTGCATGGAAATCTACTGGCAGTGAAGACTTTACTTACACTATAAAGCAAACGCTATCAAACTCTGGCCTATAAACACCCATAACATGCTGCTGTCATCACCCTCTGATGATGATTGTGGACTTCACTGCAAACATGCTGTGTGAAAGCATTATAGAAAACACATTTAGCACCCTTTATGGTGAAACTGCACTTCTCAGCAGTGCAGTCAGATCAGACAGCTGTTTGTCGAGACATGAAGAAAAGAGAAACTCATCAGGAGAAATATACGGTGAAGCACGGCGGCGGCAGCATCATGCTATGAGCTATTCTGATGAAAATGTTAATTTAGATTCTTGGCAGTGCAATAATAATACTCTCAGATGTGGTGACCATTAATTGATCGACTGAATTTATTTACATATATGACTTACTCTCAGATTCTGACATATTCTCTTCCAGTGTTCCCTTCATCACAGCTGGTGTCCTGGTGTTATTTTTGTATGCTGCCATCCACACATAAGGCAAACAGGCAATGAATGAATACAGCGGTAAATTGAGCCACAAACACAGACACAATGTTTTCAGCACTTAAACTTTTTGAGTAGTCACTTATTTGTACTAGAGAGCGAAGGAAAAGTGAGAGATCTCACGGCGTGAAATCTGTGAGATTCTCTCTAAATAAAGAACTCTGAGTGAAGGTATTGCAGTGCACAGCTGGCTACAAATATTGCATCTTTTATGAAGACTCTCGGGCATGCAGTCACTCCTGCAGAGAAGCTCCTGTAGAGTGACAGCACAACAAAAAGCACACACACTCTCACACACAAACTGAATTGTTCTTTATACAAATACTCAGAACGTCACATATGAAGGTTTCTACCAGTAGTGATTAACCACGACCATAATTATTTTGAATTTTGGTGAAATGTAGAGTGCATATGCCAAATATTTTTGTGAGTTGTTAGAACTTCTGTTAGTCATACTGGATTTTAGACAATAATAAGTCATTTTAAAGAATTTAGACAATCTTCAGCTGATGAACCTTGTGTAAATGTGATTTACCTCACTCTAGCAATTACAGCCTCAACACAGACCTCAATAACAGAGATTGTCTATCATGCAACATGTTGGGTAAACATGCTAATAAATATAAATGCAATATTTTTATTTGTGCACAGATTTCTGCCATGACATGAAACATCATATTTAATGGGGTGTGACTGACTCTGGCTGCCTCATGTGGTGGACTGGCAGCCTGTCCAGTGTGCACCGTGCCTCAGCTGACATATCCCCACCCACCCTGTGACCATAAAAATAGTGTTTCAGGAAGAAAGGATCCCTGATAATGCTAATGTTAGCACAGCAGGGCGGTGTTTTGCCGGTGCAGGCAGCTGCCATCTTCCTATTTTCAGAGCTCAGTCGTTCTTTTTCGTGTTATATTTATTTCATCTTAACTGACTTGTTAAACCTTTAAAATCTAAATATCTGAACTACATGAGATCCTTAACAGGGCAGCATAGTAACATCACTGCCAAAGAGCACTGAAAGTGTGATTACAGAGGAATGCAGACATGTAAAACAAGTGACATAAAGTGTGATGTCCTTTACATTATTTTCAGTAACATTTTATTTGTCGAAAAACTGAACAAAATTCACACAAACAGCTTTTATAGTGATCATGCATCCAGAGTGACTAACGCGAGATAATGGCCTATCAGCGCAGTGATAGAGGTCTGTTTGTGGCAACAGTGGGGTGACAGACAGAGCGAGAATGCCAACACGCCGGGCGAATTTTTTCTGTGCAGCTGTCACTCAAACGTCTCACAGCTCAGGAGCACAAAGCCAGCGATGCTCGGTTTTATTCAACTGTTGAACACTGGCTGATTTTCTTTTGTGAGAACAGAAAAGCAATGCAGTGCTGATCATGGAAATGCATTCTTTTCTACGCACACTTACGGGATCAATGAAGAATAGACAGCAGATCATTCTCCTCACCTTGACTGTCTGTGATGTGTGTTTTTAAGATTGCATTCTGACTCCGGGACTGCCGAGTGATCATCGTCAATAAAAGAGAGCGAGCTGTAGAGGCACCAGTGCAAGCCAAGGCCATAACTTGACCTCCAGCCTCCTTTGCATTGGTTCAGATAGATCAGGTAGTTCAGGTATCTCATCAATCCAGAAAATACAATGAAATACATTTGTACACTTTGTTGTGTTTTTAAGTAAAAAATAAACGATTAAAGTAGGAAAAATAAATGTTACTGCTAGCATACCGTTTACTGGAGGGGCTGTAACTTTTAAGTCCTTTAGCATGTAAGATTTTTGGTATTTACATATAATAAGAAAACTGAATTTTCAAGAATCAGTTAAAGTAAATTAAGATAAGTAGTAAGTTAAGTTAAATCATACAAACCTAAGTATCCACATTATATCCAATATATGAATAAAATTACAGCTTATCAGAAATCAGCTTTCCAACTGAGCAAATGACTCGCATGCACAGTTACAGGCTCTCGTGGGTTACATGAAATGCATAATGATACAGGACACGTGTAAAGATATTATTTCAAAAGTAAATCCTGTAAAAAGTAGTTTTCTGATGCCAGCACCTCTCTGTTTCACGGGATCTGTCTAGTGGCACAAGTTTTTTCCTGATAGCAAAAAACTATCAAGATACTGAAAACAAGGGCACTTCCACCCCCCATATATTGCATGAGTGCATACATATATTGCATGCACTCGTGCAATATATGTATTTTTCTGTAAAAATGTGACTCTAACTTCAATAAATACTTTTAAAAATAAATAAATGAGATACAAGGTGTTCTCTGGATGTATAAGCATAAGTATAAGGTCTGCTCTGTGCAGCTGGAGAAGACGCTGAATGATAATGATAACTACCACACTGACTAGAACACCGACACATGAGACAGGAAGCGCTGGGGCGCTCTGGTTAGCAGCAGCTAAACTTTTAAAACAAGAGTAATCCCCACTGCTATTCAATCATACAGTTTATGTGAATGGATGAAAAAATAGGAATAAAAACATCAAAATGAGGTGCCAGAAATACTGGAGGGTGTATGTCTACCTTGATGTATAAAAAAAGGCTGTTCGTGTTGGTGGATAACAAGCCTGACTCTTGTCTGATAAGTTAATTATTGCAGCTCCTGAAGGATTAAGGTGGAAACATTGTTTTTGAACAATACATCTGGATTTAACTCGGATTAAATGTTCTCTCCAAATGTGGTTGTGGGATTTTTTTTTGTCCAGTCCAGGAACTATATGGGTTTAGGGAAGCTCTTTGCAGATACAGCAGAAAGGCGAGATGATGTGATGCTTAACATGTAAATAAATTTGCTGTCAGTTACTCGAATGTGAAGGTGGCACTGTGGCAGCAGAGATTACTGCTCCATCTACGGTTGTGTTTGAATCTGGGCTGATATGAATATGTCTGATATGATATGAAACCACATGGGATTTCAAATGGCAAAGCTTTTATCATAATATGTGCTATTACTCAACAGCGTTACATACAGTAGCAGAGACCCAAGTGTCATCTCAGCATTGCAGTCAACACAACCACAATCAGAACAACCACACGTGTGTCTGGAGTCACAGCAGGCTGCGGGAGCGCTGGGTGAGACATGACTGCCACCTTGATCTCAGGTGGGCTGACCATAAGAATTCAGATATGCATGCAATCTCACACTTTAATGACACTTACAGTGAGAGTATAAAATTACAATTATACTAAATTCTACACTACAAAAGGTGGTCAAGTGTTTGGCTGCTTGAGAAAAGGTGGATACACAGGAAGTTATCTACGACTGGCTGCTCCAGTCTGCATGTCAAAGTTCATTTTCATTTCAGACTGATCTATGATGGTAGCTGATATGTATGTGTCATGTAGATTCGTTTTATGTTGAGCTGAAAGACAGTTACGTTTTTACACATTTACTTTCTTTCCATGTGACAGGGAATATAAAAACATAACAATACAAACATTTAGTTAATGCAGGAACGTCTGAGAGACATTTTACTGCTGAGCTGTTTGTCTGTGGCACACATCATAAACTAACCCATCCAGGATCAGGCACCAATGAAGGCTCTGACACTGTCAGTGAAATCTTTATCTGAAATAAACGTCGTGCTCAGAGCTGTGAGAGTTGCAGTAATTGTGTCTGTGAGAAGCATGCGGTGGAAACTTGAGTAAATGATCCGCTGCTCTTACGTTTCTACAGGTGATTGGCTGGGTGCCTCACTCATTTCCACACACACCGCCTATCAAACGCTAATCAAAAGCGCGTGCGCATGTGTGCGCATGCACGGAGGCACACACACTTGATTTTCACGATGCCAAACACAAACGGAGACTTCCTCTGTGACGGCACCCTCTGCTCATAAAGCCAATCAGCGCGCTGGCTGCTATAAATAATTCCGGCTCTCCGCCGGCCGGCTCCGCCGACACCAACACCAACACTGCGGAGAACCGGAGCCGGCCAGGCCCTCCTCCTCCCTCGGCTGACTCCCCTACAGCCTCGTCCTCCGCTCCCGTCTCTGTCACAAAACGCACACCTTTGAATGCGAGTGATGGCGGCGGAGGATTGAGGAGATCCGCCTTTACCTGGAAAAAAACGGAAGGCACAGAGCGAGAGGGGAGAGGAGGAGCAGGAGGGAGGGGGAGATATCCGCAGCATGCCTTTGTGTTCCGCGCCCCGGTGCCAGAAGTGGCTCTTTCAGCCCACAGCCGCGCGGATTGTGCACAGACATCGCGCCAGCAGGTGAAGCGCGTACCTGCAGCCCGCCCGCGTGCACAAACACACCGAGACCAAAACAGCCTCACGCCTAAAACCGTCTGCCTCACCGAGAGTGCCAGCTCGCCCTCCATCCACCCGAGCTGCAGCACTAATGCACAAACAAGCACGGAGCACCGGGGGTCCCCGCGGCGTCCCGGCAGCGCGGGCTCTCTCATCGTCTAACATGCGCTGCGTTTGCTTTCACTAACCTGATGCGTCTGAAGGACCGAGGGGCCGAAGGGATCCCGACCAGTCTGCAGGAGAGCTTTCGTTTGATGCCTGTCCTATATCCAGTCTCTCTCACACACGCGCGCGCTCGCTTTCTCTCCACCACCCCCTCTTGCGCACTATTACCTCACAGCCTCCACTCTGTTCTTCCAAGACGAGAGAGAGAGAGCATATGGCGACAGATTCTCAACAGGAGCGCGAATCCGTGTAAAAGTAGAGAAGCTGCTTTGTGCTTTGTTTAAATTCTCCAAAGTGCGCTCGCCACCACCAACAAGTGAGCCTGTTAGGATACACATAAAGTCCATTCAAAGAGAACAGTGTTTAAGCTGACAAAGGTGCACAATTTAAAAGAGGCCAGAACACAAAATAGGATTTTACCCTCAGAGGTTTTAATGGGGTGTCGGTGAATTCATTTATTTTGATTGCGGGCGTGAATATTCCAGTTTACAGTATGCCATCTATTTTATTTTGCCAGATGTGATCAGAGGACACTTTGATAACCGAATGCTACATCTTTCACACAGAGGCCTGACACTGCCATTTAAAAAATAGCATTAATAGAAATATACATGTGGACAAGGTGGGCGCACGACAGGAAGCCAGCTGCAGCAGCTGTTTGTAAATTCAAAGTTAGCCTGCTGTACACGTAGAAGTGAAAGAAAGCACCAGACAGGGGGACTTGCATGTGTCACTTTAATTTTGAACAATGCAGGCTTCAAGGGAAAGTTTGGAAGTTTAAAATAGCCTAGAGTCGTCAAACAGCTGGTCCTGAGTCATCAAGCCCTCATGGGAGTTGAAACAGTGACATGAAATAACAGGATGTTCAGACTTTATTGTCATGCAGCTGTAGGTAGTTTATAACTTAATAAATGCCCACAATGTGACCGAGAACAGATGCAAAGACCACATACTGGCTTTTATTTCTTTATGAATCAAAACAATGGTGCCGCTGATGCATCCGGGGCCAGCGCAGCTCTCAGAGCAGCCTGCGTAGCCGGAGGCCGTCAATCCGAAGCCTCGTGATGCCTAACGCTAATGCACTCATTGTTAACGTGTCATTACCGAGCTCCTTTATCGCTGAGCAAACACACACGCATGTTCACAGATCCTGTGCAAACAGATAGGACAGGTGGTGCCTCCTGCGTGTCACGCTAACATCACGGCTGAATCAGCCGAATGAAACAAACTCGCAGTCCTCACAATTAAGCACCACCAGGCGTTAGTTTAGGTTTATTTATTAATATGCATTTTGAGATCAAACCCCATCTTTGCATGTGGGCATCATGAGCGCATGCAGATGGTGTACTGGCGTCTTTATTCTACACTTCAAACACTTCTTACAGAAAGTGACAACATTAGGTGTACTGTCAGTAAGCATAAGAAATGCAGAGATTAAATACTGCAGCAGTGAATGACCCAAAAAAGTTTTTGTTTTTTGTTTGTCTTGTTCCATGTTCAATAATCCAGGTAAGGAAATCAACTTTCTGAGATTCACTCAGAAACATTTTCACTTTATTAACCTTCTAAATTTAAAGTGAATCACTGTTATCAGTTTTCATATCATTTCCTTTAATTACACAACCAAAAACATACATTTTCTCATGTATATAAAATCGTATGAAGAATATGTTTGAATCTCTACAATAACATCATGAACACTGAAAGATGGTTTGTACTTAGTTATGCAGAGATGTTGTGTTGGGGTTAAATAATGAAATGTCTATATTTTTACTTCTGCAACCTTAAATATTTCAAAAGAATGAAGGCTCTTTCCCAGAGGCAGTCATTTCCCCACGACTGCAGGCTTTTATGCCGTCTGAGGATACTAATCTTAGTTATGGCAATCACATCACCTCTCCAAAACATCCATCGTGTGGGTTCAGAGGGAGGTTACTCCTGTGTGCACCATGTGCGCATTTATTTAGACCTTTTTCTTTTTCCAAAGCAGATCCCATCTTTGGATGTTCTAGCTGGTTAATGTGTTAGAGGTGTGTTTTTGACTAATCCTCTAACCCCTTAGCAGTCCTACAAATTTACAATTAGTCCCCTAAACCATCCAATGTACCGTGGGCGGTACGTCCGACTGCTAACAGGCTAATTTAAAATCATTTAAAGGCTGCTTGTCGGGGTTAATGTCACCGGATGTTTGTCTTTGCATGGTCAAGATTCCTGGTTCCCACTTTTGCAAGGTCGCATTTCACTCATTTTTGTGTTAATGAACAAATAAGTGGCTTCGACACAAGCAAACAAAACCATCCCTAGGCTTCTGAAAACAGAGGATTCAGTCATCAGCTATTAAGATTTAGTTGAGTCTGCAAAGTCAGTGGTGCTGGTGTTATGATGTGGAACTCCAATCGTGGATGCTGCCATTAGTGACATTTGCCCATATTTACTGCCACTACATCCTGCTGGCGCCGCTAAGGCTGCTTACACAGCATTACACACCCACTTCCCCTGGAGAAATCAATGATTAAAAAAAAATTTGGCAGGTGATTATTGGTTGGATAAGAAGACTCTGTCATGTTGCACAACATCAGTGTACAAATGTGATCATGAAACTTTAGACTGCGTTGATAATTTACTCTTTTCTTCGTCTTTCTCTCTTTGCATCACATACATATTTAAATTTTATTTCTATGAAATGTCCTACAGATGTCTGTGAGCATGAGAAAAAAAAGTCAAACATCAATTTGATGATTAACTGACTTTCCATCAAGGCCCATATCATGTCAGGCTGTGTGTTTTAAATTGTGCATCAAAGGAGATGTCAGCTTGACTTGTCTGCAGTACTACAAGGCTTCCAGGCAGACTAAAGCCCCACGAAGAGAAGGCAAATGAATCAGGTCAAGCAAGAACTGATCCCCTGCCTCATTCCTGACTTTAAAAGACATTGACAAGCTATTACAGGTAGCTTATTTTGCATTCTATATACTGCAGAGACACGTACAGCATTTTACACAGTTCCAGTTTCCAGCACCAAGAGTCCCACCCCACTGATATTCCATAAAAACTCTTAACTGTGAAACAGTATGCCATCACACATTTTGTTACAAGACCGGGCTGCGATTACATAACCACATTTCTGTTAAACAGCACATCTCCTGTCAGTGTAAACACTATTGGTCTACATGAGATTACTCACTACACAAAATACAACGAATGGACAATTTGGATCTTTTTTGGAGACTAAACTTTCGTTGCCACGGTGGATCACCTGCTTCTGTTTCCCAGCATCCTCCTCTGTCATGACTGAGGACACCGACTGCATGTCCTCCTTTAGTATATCCATGAACCTCCTGTATGGTTTTCCTCTTTTCCTCCTGACTGGCAGCTCCATCTTCAACATCCTTTGTCTAATATATCCATTCTCTCTCCTCCAAAGCTCTGCTCCTTGCATGTCCACCTGTCTCCTTCTCATTCCCACACATGCGTTCTGTCTTGCTTCTTCTGACTGTCATTCCTCTTCTTTCCAGCTCATGCCTCCACCTCTCCAGCCTCTCCTCCACCTCCTCTTTATTCTCACTACAGACCACAGTGTCGTCTGCAAACATCAGCGTCCACAGAGACCCCTCCCTGATCTCATCTGTCAGCCTGTCCATCAACACTGCAAACAAAAAGGGGCTCAGAGCAGAACCCTGATGTAATCCCACCCCCCACCTTCAACCCATCTGTCACTCCTACCCTCACCACACTTCCTCTTTTGGCACCCTATCATCAGTGAATCTCCTCTGACCTTCTCTAAACTTCTCCATCAGCACTGTCAAAGCAAACATCACATCTGTGGAGCTCTTTCTCAGCAGGAAGCCACACTGCCACTCACTGATCATCTCCTCTCATCTTAGCCTAGCTTTGATAACTCTTTCTCATATCTTCGTGGTATGGCTCATCAGTTTTATCCCCCTGTAGTGACGACTCTGCACATCACCCTTGAATACTCAACACTTCCCATTTACTTTAATGAAGTTTAGGCTGTAAAACAGGACTAAGTACAACTGAGTGTAAATGAAATGAGTTTCCAAGCTGCTGAGAATGAACTCAGCACATTTTCAGAAAATGGAATCTGTAATATAAATGCAGTGCTAGATTAGCTTCATATTAAATGACACTGTCAGGGGCGGGAAGGCGATCACACCACAGCTGCTACAGAGAAGGCAAAAATTTGGCTCGACGATGAAATGTTCTGGATGTTAAATTGAGTTTTTCAAATAAATTAGCTACGAGTACAACTTCTTCAAACACAACAGCATATATGAGACTTTGTTCTTCTTATCTTCTTAAGAATCATCACCGGATAGACTGGATATAACACTTTGACTTTTGGTTGTCATTTATTGGAAGAAGGACCATATTTGAACAAGCACAGACTATCAGGTTGCAACAGACAGATTTGTGCCAATTAGTGCTAACATCCTAAACAAAATCAGTTTACAATTTCGCTTGCTCAAACTGGAGCTCTGTTAGTATAATCTCTCCGTAGCCATTTTATTGGTCACATAATGTTATTAAAATGCTCCAAAACAGTTTTTGTGTCAGGCTGTGAACATGTGGGGATTGAGTCCCTGTTGGAGCCTCTGCTGGACGTTAGAGGAACTGCAGGTTTTGGCACTTCTTCAGTGACTTCATTTTCTGAGGTTCAAACACATTTATGTCTGTAGTATATAAAAGAATTGCATTGTTAGAAAAGAGTAGAGTAAATAATATATAAAATATGATTTTTATTGTCATCATAGTCTGAAGAATTTAAGGATTTATTCCTGCTCACAAACAATGGGCTGAGGCAACACTTCAGAGAAGAGTGACGTGAACCTTGTTCTGTGTATTTGTGGCCTGAGACAGCTCTGTGGAAAAAACAGACATGAGCATGTAATTGAATTAACCCACCATGCCTTTAAAACACCACTGTCCTAGCAGAAGAAAATACAGCTAATTAATGTGCTCTGCGTCCACACCGTCTGCAGGCTAGCCTCCAACCGAGGAAAAATACTTCACATGTGGGACTTAAAAACAGAGAAGCTGCAGGAATGAGTCTTTGGGAAAATAAAGTTAATGTATTTAAATAATACATGTTGAAGTGAAATAAAACTATAGCCAAATGGACTTTGCTGCTATCTG